AAAAAAAATCAAAAATATTCTAAGAAATAGACAAATTATTTTGCAGAATACTACATACATGAGAAAAAAGTGGGTGTACATTGAGGATGGTCCGCAGAAGACGATACTTCTATAAATGGAGGCAGTTTAAAAAGTTTGCTGAAGTTTTTTTACGGAGACAAGACGGTAATCAATTTAGGGATTGCTGGTATTCAGAAAGTTCTTAAGCAGGAAACTTTTTTTGGTTAGCAAACAGGTAAGCAGCCGGAAAAAAACACTCGCTTATTTGTTCAATTACTGGAGTGCATTACCTGAATTTTAGATTTGGATTCCAAATCGCAAAATTTACATTGTGTTTGTAGAGTTGTGGTATCTTTTATTTTTAAAAATTAATACCGGAAAAAAAGACAAATCCCAATTTTCTTAATTTTTTGTCTTAGTTTTTTAGGATCAGTTTTGAGGAGAAAACAGCAATGACACTTTCTATGAAGAAACTTTGCATGAAGGTTTTTGTTTGGGAGTCCAGCTGAGACTTTTTTTTATTGTTCATAATACTGGCACTGTCAAAAAGATTCAACTGTAGTTTGGAATAGATAGCATTTGGTTAACATTTACTTTGATATACACTTTTTTGTTCTTTCTACGTTTACGAAATAGGATAGGCTTCTGATTCTGAAATTGACCTTTCAATAAAAATTCCTTGTGAAATCAAAGCTTTCAACATGCGGACGCATACGTTACCAATTCTATCGACAAAACATTCAAAACAAAAAGACAGTTCTTTTCTTCGGTGCTGTCGTATAACGACCAAAAAAGGAAATAATTCTTAGAATGCGGATTTCGAAGACCCTTGAAATTTCCAAAAATACGCTTGAAGTTGAGTTAGATAGCAGTGGGTTTTCAGCTTAAATGGTGACAAGTGATTTTGTATTTTAACCATTCATTCTGGCCCCTATCCTGTAAATGATTTCAAATCTATCCTAGTCAGATGATTAACTCAAAACCCATTTCTGAACTTTCCAAAATTTACTAGCTTCAAAAAAAATGAGTTTTCACTTATTGCTTTATTGCTAATTTCATACGTTTACAGCTTTTATGTTTTCGCACG